ACTCATTTATTAATTCTAAACGTTTCGACCCACTTCGGGTCTTCTTCAAGCTACAAAATACAAGAAACCAAAATAGAAGATGTACAAAACGAATTTAATAAATGAGTTTGACTTGAGATCTCATTTTAATTTATTAATTTTGTGCATGTCATCCGCATAGGCTCCGATTGCCGTCGTTGTCAATTCGAGCCGAGATTAATAGTTTTTTATATATTTATTCAAACAATGTTTCTAATCTTTGATTTATCGAATTTGTCAAAATAAAAATAAAATTATAATTTTAAGATGTCAAGAAGATAGTGTCGGTTGAAACATGTGAAGATCTTAATAATTTTATATTTATTTTTACCAGTCACGGTGGAGAGAAGATTCTTAACCTATTGTCAAAAACTATATTCGTTCTGACATCATTCTCAAATATCTACGTTTTTATAATTTGTTTAATGATTTTTCGCGTCCTCTCTTCGGGCAATTAATAATAATAAATACACGATTGAAATTTCCTTATCACTCCTCATCATTTCCCGTCGTTTACTATTCCGTCGTTGCCCTAATAAATTATTACGATCTCGCGACTGTAATAATCTCGCGCGCATTCGGTTTGAATATCGTATATCGCTTTGTAATTCCGAGTCGCTTACGGGAGGGCTGAAAGGAGAAACCGTCGTCGCGAGCAATCGAAACCTTAGCACACTCCTTATTATTGTTACGAGGCCATTACGTGGCTGGGGGGCCCGACGCAACACGCGTGCACGCGTGCAGGCTCTAATGGCAGATGGCGACGGGCCTTGCGTGCGACGCAGCTGCGGACGAGAAGCAGCACGAGCGGAAAGGGGAGGGAAAGGGGGAGAAAGGGGGATGTAGGTAGGACCACCACTCAACCCCTGTAACCGACACAGAGGTCCACTCTCCCTTCACCTCGGTGTCCGGAATGCTAACCTGTTGGTACAGCTGTCAACTTGGCAATTATTGCTCTCGAAAAAAGAGGATTGTCGAGAGAAAAAGGATGATGCGCTGATAACAGAGAATAAATGAATCAATCATAAATATAAATTTAATTGATAATAATCCTTAAGGTTCGCCAGTAATATATATAATTAATAAAAAGACTTTTACCATTGAGGAAAGATTTTTATTAATTATTACTCTCTGGCGAACGTTAAGGATTATTATCTGATAAATTATAGATTTATGAATTTAATAAAAAAATAATATTAAAAAAATTGTAATTAAAATAATGAATAAATAGTTAATACATCTATAGCTGGTAATTGACGTGCGCGAATTGAAATTGCTCATATGGGGCGAATAATAGATATGTACCTTGAAAATGCAAGAGCAAACCGCGCGTGATTCGCAGTCTGATGGATTCTGTAAATGGGAGATGCACATTCTGTGTCTTTCGTTTAATATATAAATTGATTAGTATCGACGGTGCGCGCCGTGTAATCAGATTAAAATGGAGAACGACGAAACGCGCTTTCGGAGCCAATCGTACATCAAGATTTTCGAAAAATTGACTTTTACTCGTGAAGAGAATATATGCGCACATTCATAATGATTAAATTCGATTCCAGTTTAATTTATCACACTCTATATATATATATATATATATGTATTCCAAACTTTTTAAATATACTTAATCTTTAAATATATCATTTTTAAATATTATCTATAGTTTTTAAATATTATATAATTCAATTTGCGCAATGCCTATGTGTGGCAAAATTGTGAAAAAATAGAATTACTCTTGTTGCGTCCTATTTTATAAAAATGCATTGAAATCGGAAATTATTGATTTTTAGCTCGATGAATAAATTGCAGATTGCTGAAGCGATTGTCGATGAAATAAGAAAGAAAAAATATTTTTTTAGCATTTGAGGAATTACAAGCATTCGAAATTGTGCGAGACAGAGAGAAAGAGAGAATTTCTTTATACGTATATCGCGAACTATGTAGTTGCGTACGCATCGGTTTGACGAATATCGTTTGTAGGCTTGTCCATGGATTTGGTGGATCTGGAAAGTACGAAACACAGCAGCTGCAACGCTCTCTCGACGCAGCAGGGGAGACAAAGGTGGAAAGAGGGCAGCTGTCCTCTTTCTCTCTCTCATCTCGCTCTCGGACTTGAATCCCCGATTCTGGTTCTGGTTGCCGTATCGGCCATATGGGTGCATTCGACGAAAAGCGACGGTTTTCAGAAAACAGATTCGTAAATAAAATAAATAAATAAAATAAATGCACATGTGTGCGACGACGCATTCAGTTCACACGAAGATCGACGCGAACGAATCAGATCAAATACAATAAAGTTTTATTTCAATACTTTATTTCGGCCATCAAAATTCCATTCTTTCGAAATGACCGATTTATGAAAAATAAATATGACTGCGATTTATTTTTATTTTATGTATGCATGTCAATTAATAGGTCACGCTTGCACGAAATTTAAACCAGGTTGGGAGAGATATCATAAATCTTGAAAATGTTTCAAAGAGCTGTGCAGTTTGCACGTTGCAAGGACAAATGATATGAGAAAAATATCGAAAGCAATATGACAGGTTCCATACTTCTACAACGAATATTTCCTTGTCGCGATGCAAGCGGTCGATACGATTGACATAAACCGCAATAAGCGCGGATTTATCGAGTCGGACGATACACGCTAACGATGTTGTCCACGCCGCAGACGCATACAACGCGAAAAAAAAAGAGGAACGAAGAAAAAAAAGAGAGACACCCGCGAAAGAAGCCCCGATGAAAATTGCAGATGAACGTGAAAACGTTTGGCGTGTCAGGTCCTTTATTTTGCATGCATGCACAAACGCGCAGAAAGAGAAAAATCTCCTCCCCCGATATCGATACCGGATAAATCGCTCGATAACGTAAAGGATAAATTTAAGAGTCCCTATTTCGGGGGAACATATTTTATTTATAAAATCAAATAAGTGAATATTCAATTTCGTTCTTACGCGAAATAAATAAACTATTCTTACGTGACCCACGCTGAAAAAAATCCATGTACTTTTACATGGAAATTATTATTTGTCCAGAACTGGAAAAATTACTATAGATTATCTCTGTAATTTTTCCATTTTATTTATAACATTATTTTATAAGCAGTACTACCATTTCTTAAGTTTAATTCCATGTTCGGTGGAATATTTTTAATCTTAAAAATATATAAGAATATATTTCATATGAAATTACATATAAGTAGCAATATTGCATGATTATGCTGGGTCGGAAAAAACCTAGCATAATCATGTAATGTTAACAAATATATTTTTTTCACTCATGTCGAAAATGTTCGCCGACCAAAATCGCTATAATAACGTCTCCCCTTTCACGCGTCCCGATTACGGCGTAAGGATGATCGCGCGCGTGTCGATCGACTCGATCGACCCCTCGAGAGGAGATGCTTTTCTCTCTCTCTCTCTCTCTCACCCCTCGGCGGCATTGTCCGCGTCGATTCTGGCATTGTTCGCTGCCAGCTGTTGCTATTTTTTCCCTCCTTTTTGTCTCTCCTCGCGCGCTCGTGCTCGCCCTCGGGTCTCCTTTGTCGATCGCCATCCCGGTTAGTGCCAGCCGATCCGAGCCGAAATTAATCAAAAAGGGGACGATCGGCTGCACGTGGGCAAGCCTCACTCCCTCCCTCTGCTCGCTCACGAGCGCGCTTTTTCTCGATCAAAATATTAAATAGCGCAACCCCCTTGACAATTCCGCGCCGGAACAATAGGGAAAAAGAGGAGAGGAGACGCAGAACGTGGAGACGAACCGGCCACGTGCCAACCATGGGAATATAATGCCGCAACGGCCACGTGCCAACCACCTATCGGGTGTACCGGTAGAAAACGACCACTGGTTGCGTCACAGTAGCTCACTCACTCCTAGCGATCGACGGTATTTATTTACATACGGGATGAACAATCTTGGCCGAGGAGCGTGAAAATTCAATCGCCAACGATGACGAAACGAGGAGTCGCTTCTGTATATAGGTACTTATATTAAATTAACGTAATTGAGCTCCAGTAGCTTTGCAATATTTGTACGGCGAAAACGTCTTGTGGTTTTAATGTGTTGATAAAAGTGTGTATTCTTTATTACATTATAGAATAATCAGTAAAATTTTTATTATGTAAATTTATTTTTTTTTATGATTCTAAAATTGTAAACTGTCTTTATAGTATTGTTTTTTACTAATAAAATTGTTGTCGATACTTGGTACTGTAAAAATTTTAATGGTAAAATTTAATATCTTTCTTATCGGAAAATTTTATCGTTGATAAAATTTCTTTTGATATATTATGCTCGAGCTATATCTTTTTATATTTTATTCTGTAATTTCAATGTATGATATTTGAATTATTTCGTTAAATTATATAATCTCTTTCTTTACATACGCATTCTCTTTCAAGTTTTTTGTAATTACCGATGTCTTATCTACAGATAAAATGAATTGGCGTTCATAATTATTTACCGTAATCTTTCCGTTGAAAATTACAAAAAACACGGTATAAAATAACAAATACCTCTTATGAAATTCGAAGAATTTGACGATAGTTTTCTGATTCATAGTTTTACGTATCGCTGATTCATTCGTTGCTCCATAATAAAACCGAAAAAAAATCGACTGACGTGACACATCGCGATTTAGCCAGAACTCATCGTAGCTATAATCCAGATTATAAGAAGAGATACGAGCAGCTATTTGCCGGTAATCGACGCCTTGTTATGCGCTTTTCTTCCGCATTAATTTAAGGCTCGATAAATTACTTTTCTCTGCATACTAATAGAAGTTAAACGAGGGTAGATAAGAACGCAAATTCTCTCAGTCCCGTCTCTCAACTTTGTAAAATTTTAATCTAACTTCAACTCACGAAAGCCCCCATAAATTACCGCGACGATACGATTTAAGATGCGCTGCACGCGCAAATTCTTTATTAGTATCTCGAAAAATTGTTATTGCACACGCACATACGAATAAATAAAAGAAAATGTACGAAATAACAACAATGTACATATATTGAAAAGAATATTGTACGGAATCTGTCTTCTGTAAATACAATATAAAACAGTTTGAGCCTCTTCGAAATTTTTACAGGACAGAATCTCTTCCGCAATTAATTAGCTAATCCATTATTTAACGATGTTAATAATTTGAAACAAAGGTACCTGGTTGCGTTACACTTGACAAACGCGATCACAGATAGAATTCAATATTGCACCAGGACCTCGTAGTCCCTGCACGGCATTTCCTTGCCATCGAACGGGAAGTACATGACACCGTGACTTCTCTGAACCTGTCAAACGAGAGAGAAACATAGCTTTCATTTCACTGTTCAACAAAAAATTACTTTTTTTCGAATATCGGAACGAGACCAATCGTTCCTTATAGTTTTTGTGAATGCTGAATACGAATTCGGTTTTCAAATTGCTCTATCGTACGTCACAACTTTGAGAAATTTTTAATTAAAGTTGCAAAAAAAAAGAGATATTTTCACAAATAACTTTGTCATATTATAACCACAATATGTAAAGTGCTGGAGAAGTTTTGCATTCAGCATCCAAAAATCTATAAAAAACGACTACATTGAAAAAATGTTTGTGTAAAATTACATGATTACTCTGGGTTTTTTTCGACTCAACAATCATGCAATATTGCTACTCATATGTAATTTCATATGAAATATATTCTTATATATTTTCAAGATTAAAAATATTCCACCGAACATAAAATTACATATGGGAAATATTAATAATGTATATAAATGCTATAAAAAGTAAATAAAATAAATGCTTATAAACTAAAGTTCTAATAAAATAAAAATACTAAATTTAAAATTACAAGTGTTTTTTGCAAAAAAAAAAAATAATAATTTTACCTATATTTTACACATATTTTTACATGAATATGTATTTGCTTGAAAAAATAGGAAAGACTAACAATGACAATTAGGTAATTTTTCCAGTGTTGAACAATGAATCTCCATGTAAAGGTACATTTTTTCAGCTTATATAATTCGTTGATTGTCAGTGTTTCATTATCGCGTAAATAATATATTTTCGAATCGCCTGCAGAGCTCCATGCCGGCTCTCCCAAGATCGAACGTACCTTTCCTACGCACGGCACACCGTTGTGGAAAGTACGGCCGACGTAGAGCATCTCTCCGTTCACGGTCCTCCCAGCCTCCACCGCGTGTTCCGGTACGTGGCCGTGACCCGTAGGAATCCAATTGAAATGGGCGGGCATCAGCACCTAAGATACATTCCAGTCATGGCAAATAGATTAACCCGCGGCGTTCCTCGCACGTACATATCCATGTATCCGTGCGCCTATTAGTCTGCATGTGCGTGTGTTTGTACATATATGTATATGCGCGTGTAAGCTGAGGCAGAAGAAATTGATTCCGATCGAGTGCGCGCTGCCATTGCAAACAGAGGGTTCGCCTAATGTTGGATCGAAGGGATATATTATGATGCTTCGGTACCACGTCGATCAATATCCGAGGGACATCCCGTGTTATATCCTCGGGACTTATCTCCTCGCTATTTTGGACAGCGATTTCGCCGTCGATCGGCGAAATCAAACTATCCCCCATCGATTCGTTCGTATTGTATACGCAATACGTGTCCCAGATACACTTTACGATTTCGTCCAACGATGGAGAATGCACAGGATATAGCGGGAAAAATAGACGGAGAGAGAGAGAGATAGGAAAGGATTTATCGGAGCGACAGAGCATGTTCATTCGATCATTTCTGGGATATCGTTGAGCAAATATCCGCGACTAACGTACACATACACGTCATATATTCGTAATCTTATCTTCATCGGAACGAAATACGCCTGGGATATGAGATATAGACACCGGCGCGGCGGATGTACGTACATACACGAGAGTGTTACGTAAAATTTCACGCGTTAATTCGCTTATTAGCAAGCAAAGGAGAACGTTATGAAACCTGGTCGCTGAAAGCGGTAGAAAAGAGGGCGTTACACAATCGCGCAAATTGATTAAAATTACCGAGACTACTCGAAATAACGCAAGCTATATCTATGTATACAGGGTGTTTCTTAAGCATGTGTCAAAAATTCAAGGGGCGATTTCTTAGATTATTTTAGGAAAATTTATACATCTGATGATTTTTCGAAAATTGCTTTGCTTCGAAGATACAGAGCGATATAATATGATGCCAGAATGTGTAGCGTATCCAATCTGTTATCATTGGTTGTTATCATTAGACTTCGGATTATATGCAAATTGCATATTTGTTACTTTTTGTACACTCTACGACAGCATTGATAATGTGAAAAAATTATAATAGTTTCAACTAATTAATGTTTATCAATTGAAAAAATTATAATTTATTCACATTATTAATGTTCTTGTAGAATATGAAAAAACAAATATGCAATTTGCAAAAATCCATAATCGAAATAAATATCATAAATGTATTTATTTAACCAAAAATATTGTATTGTAAATTTGTATCGCCCCGTAAATTTTTAGCATTTATACATTACTATATAATATTTCCCATATGTAATTCTATGTTCGGTGGAATATTTTTAATCTTGAAAATATATAAGAATATATTTCATATGAAATTCCATATAAATTTGTAATCTTCAATATAAGTAGCAATATTGCATAATTATGCCGAGTCGAAAAAGACCCAGCATAATCATGTAATTTTACACAAATATTTTATGCGTCTTCGAAACGAAGCGATTTTCGAAAAATTATCAGAGGAATAAATTTTCATAAAATGATCCAAGAAATCACCCCTTGAATTTTTGACACACGTTTAAGAAACACCCTGTATACATTCGGCTCTCGACTTTACGCGCGATCGAGAAACTCGAGATTCTCGCAAAATTCGACTCGTTTAATTTGACCGAGGAAACCGGCGGTTAATCGAATTGCTCTCGGTTTACCTGGCGGTGGGATCATATACCTCAAAGTCGTGTTTTGTGTGCTCAACACCTCCGTAGCATACGTAAGCGACCCCGTGCTCCGGCTTCGCCTTCGCCGGCAGCATGTCGCCCTGATGCATGGCGCGTCCTACGACGAGATTCGTCCCGTCCAAGTCCCTGCCGATCGAGATCAGCATGCGAGAATCGGCGTAGGGCGCCGGCCATCTCGTCCATCTGTAACCTGCGACGAGAACAAAATTTTTCCGTGAAATTGCGATATCGAGATTTCGATAGACGACTTTTATCAGGTATACGCTTATCAATCATGCCCGTCGATAAACTGCACTTTTGCGACATATTTCCTCTTATATAATCAGCCAGCAAGTGGAAAAGATATATATTTTTAAAGCCGTAATATAGTCTAGTATATAAATCAACAAATACTCGAGAAATTATCATTAATTATATTTATTGACTTATACTTATTGCATAATCTCAGCAAATAATGATATAAATTAATATTGCTTTTCCTTTACATATAATGTTAACTATATATATATATATATATATATATATATATATATATATATAATGATATATTAAATGTATAAATTGTGGCATTACCTTTCCTATTATCTCACCTAACGACACTCTACAATCGAAATAAGATAAGCCTTATTACGTGACTCAATCTACACCTTCAGCTTTATTTCTAAATCTCGATTTTATGGTATTCAATGTCACTGCTTACCAGGCATTGTTATTTCCTAAACGAAGCTCGCCGTATCACGCTACGTCGAATAATTAAATGACACGAGCGACGGAGTTTGCGTGTCGACACGTTTAAGCGAGAGCTATCACTGAACGAGCGCCGATACTTTGGGCGTAAACGAGCTCGGGTCGCAATCCCACCATTTGAAGTCTTATCAATTTTATCGGCGTGGAAAACGTTACTGTGCGACACGCGAGAGACCGTGTTTCCATCATACGGGCCACACTTTGTACCAATTCATTCGTCATAACACGCGACACGTGATTCTATATACCAATAATGTCAGCATTACCGTAATTTTCCTTCTAATTTCGCGGTCGCGTGGCGAGAACAAAATTGAAATCAAACGTTTCGAACGAATCAAGCGTGACATAAATTCTGCAACACGTAATACATTAGTCAGCCTTGTGAGATAAAACAAATCCAATACGATCGATCTGAATATACAAGGTGTATCTGAAAAGTGCGACAAATTTTAGGAGATGATTCTTTGTCGAACATTAAAAAGGTTTCTTACATTAAAAATTAAAGAGGTTGTTAATTCCATCCCCTTATAATGATATAGGAAGATAAAGAAATATTAATAAACATCCTTTTTATTAATAAAAATATCCATCAAGTTTAATTTTTAATTTGTCTGAAATTTGAGGAAAAATAAAAACTTAAATTTTGCCTCCCTCTTTAGAAAAGTATAACTTCTCAGGGAGGGATATAAGAGTATATATTTATATAATAATTCCGTAAATTTTCGACAAAAATCGTCTCCTAAAATTTTCCGCATTTATTTAGATATCGCGCGAGTCGCAAAATGCAAAGAGCTCTACATTAACATTCCGATAAACGTGAAAATAGATTTCTTTTCAGGGCGAAGCAATTTATCTTGAGACGGCATCCACTAATAGAAATCTCAGAAAAAAACGTCATCTCGCGATTCGTGCAAAAAAATGTACCGAGTGAAAAAAAAAGGAAAGAAAGAAGCTTGCACATCTGGATGCAAGATAAAGTCACGAGACCGGCTATTTTTCCGACATTGTAAACTAAACGTTCGCCGCGGTGCAGAGTTGGAGAATGCAAAGACGACGAAGGAATGAACTTTCTCGTTCGAGCGCAGCAGGAAACGAGCGATTTGCCGCGCTCATCGTTCGACCGAGGAGAAGCCTTCTTCTCTCCCTCTCTTTTACATATCGCGTATATCGTAGTTGTGCATGCAGAAGTACACGTACATCCTCGCGATTCGCGCTTCGGGCGACCGATGCCTGCTCATTATCAGGTGGAATCGTGCTCCGAGGCTTGTATTATGTAACGAGAGAGAAAATACGTGCTTCCCGACTAGGGAAAGAAAGAATGTAAAAAAGATGAGTGCCCGGGGGTGCATGAAATTGGCACAAGAAGCATCCTTTGGATGCGTTATTGATATCACGCGAGAAAAGTTGATAATTTCTCATTCTTCAACTATGTTATAATTCTTATATATTTTTTATATACATTATATATAATAAATATCAAATCTAATATAAATATAAATTATAGGATAAATTTTATATTTGTATATAAATATATAATTTATATTTATATTTAATTTTATATTTACATTTGTGTGGATATATTTATATTATATTGAATTTATATACATTACATTTATATTATATATATACATATTTATTATATATAAATGTACTATATATAGATTAATTTATATCTACATATAGATTTATGAAAAATTAATTTACTCTTTCTCTCTCTGAAAGAGAACGCGAATTATTTTATATATAAAATTTCATAAAGATATCCCCGATGCGAGAAGAGTCTGAATTCCAATTTGTACTCAAAAATAGTCGAAATAAATTTACTCTGATTGATATACGCGGCAAAAGAGCGATTGATTGTCTCCATTAAAAAGGCGCGATAAAATAAAGTAAGGCGAAAGGTTCTTTCACCGGAAACTCGCCATCCCCGGGTTGCCATCTCTAATCGCTGATCCGTAGTTAATTGTGCCACACAGATAATGCGTTTAGAGCAAAGGCGGTCTGTACGTTTAATGAGACGTGTAACGCTATTTGCGCTCGGCGCTTCGAGGCGTAAAAAGGAGGCGAGCGTCTAATGAGTCTCTCGTTTCTTGTCCGCTGATGCTCTCGCGAAATTACAACACAAATTCGCCGCCTGATCTCACGTTTACGACTAATCATATTATTGATTATTTTTTTCTCTCCCGAAATTCGAGACGTTTAATCGAAGACGAGATAAGATAAGAGTGTCCATTCTCTCTCTTTCTTATATGCGAGAACGTCGCACGAAAGAGTGATTTAAACTCGACAAGGGTACTTTAATGGGTTTGCTAAGGCGAGTGGTATATCTCCTAGATATATACCACACTCCATCGTCCCTTTGTGAATAATGCCTTTATTCGCCAACGCGAAATCCGCCCTTTTTCTCCTTCTTCCCTCTTTCAGATATATATATATATATATATATATATATATATATATATATAATACCATATATGTGTAACCAAAGACTGGGATAAAAATATCGGAATCACTATTTGCCCAATGCTATATTGACGCGACAAGAAAGAGATGGTCGTTCGGTTATTTGAAAATCCTGGCGATTATGAATCCATACACATATATATACGCCGAAGCGTTATTAGAAAAGAAAAAAATAATATGCGAATAAAATCAAATAAAAGGGGATCCTGCTATGTTTTAAGAATAAAACCATTTTTGTAAACATTGATAAAAATATTAAAAATACAAATCCTATATAAAAATATAAACATGCAATGCAACGAGCGCATGGAGCTTGAAGTTTATATATATATATATATATATATATAAACTTCTATAAATAAAAGCATTAATGTTCAGAGAAATATGTATGAAAATTATGAAAATTATTTTTGAGGGATAATATTTTTGTATAGCGGCTTTATCATATAAAACCTCTGTAAAGTGACATTTTTAAATCACGGAGGCAAAAAAGGAGACTATGATGGCACATTTTTACGTTTGCAATCCTGCCCTTCGCGCCTTTCGACTCGCCTGACGTCAGAACTGGGTTAATGTTGCTTAATGCTTAACAAGCGCGCTTTCCTTTTTAACGAATGTTAAATCGCAGGATTCAAGCGGAAGTATCGCACGCAGCGACGGCACACGGAAACACGCAATACACGAGGCACAAGAGAGGCCTCTGCTCGAGCCGCTGAACCGAACAAAACATCCTCTGACCAGCGCGGCGGTTTAAGCTTACGAAACAATTCCTGCCTGCGGACTAGCGGTTGGCAAGTACGTTGCCGGTAGTCAATGTTCTAAAAGGATCCATTTGTCGAGTTCCGACAAAACGTCAGGTCGAGCGCGAGCTAACCCGCGCTTTATAATTCCCTATCGCGCACGCATTGTATTCAGTATGTTATCCAGAAGGCACACATTAATATGCAGTCAAGTGCAATCATCCGTGGCTGCTTAAAGCGCGTCTCGTTTGGTACCTTAAGTGTATAAGAAGAAAGATTTAAATAAGTGTATCTAACTCTTCTACAGACGCACTTTTATAAACACTATTATTCTATAGGCTTCTTCTGCTGAAGTGCAATTTTTTGATTCAATATTCTATGTTACTTGCGCGTGCGAAATGTGAGAAACTTTTGCCAGCTAATTGTTTACCTAATTTTGTTTAGATTTGAAAGGTTGTATTAAATTACGTGATATATTATAAGCGGTCTTTCGAATCTCATATAAATATATAGAATAATCTGGCTAGCTTTTCCCCGCAGAATCCAAGAACAAACTGCGAAACTTCCTTGACGACCAAACAAAGAAGATTAAGCAAAGTGCGCGTCTATCTACTAGGTGGTCTCTTTATTCGTACCGCAATGGAGAGAAAGAGAGACTCTTTAATATTTGAACAGAATGGAGAAGTCGTAGCTGTATACTTTGAATTGAATGTAAAAGTTCGTCGAAATTCGTTAGCATATATCTAGGCTATCCGAGATGGAAATGTTAAAGTCGAAGCTTGGATAAAGTCATTGTAAGCTATGTTTAAATTAAATGTCTGTTTATGTATCGTTAAACGAGTTCTTTATATACCATCGACTCTATTGTAACATAGAACATTTATATCACATGTATATTGTAAAACAATTTCATTAAAATCTTATTAAAACTTTGTCACTTAAAGATCTCTATTATATTATTAGTCTTTCTTACAGATAAACTTTTAGAACTTTTTCAGTGCAATTTTATTTAGTTCAATATCTTTATTTATCACAATTAGAGTGTTAAACTACCATTAAAAATTCTAGAATGGCCAGCAATTCTTGAACGAATATTAATTCTAGGAAAAAGATTAACACTAGTAAAGCTAACGCTGTTGAAAATGGTACAGCAGTTAAATAGCTTCTTGCTCAATGATAATACATCGAGTCTTTTAATTCCTAATCAAACACAATGAATAATAAAAATAATAATAATTAAAAATTCTTATCATTCAATAAATTAATTAATTTGATATAATTTCAGGAAATAAACAAAAAATGGACACCCACGGAAAGAAAATGTTCAAATCACTGGGTCAACACTCTCGCGACAAAGTCGTGGGTCGCCAAAACAAAGAAAACAAAATGGTACAACAGTTACATAGCTTCTTACTCAATAACGGATACCATCGAGTTTTGGGAATTCTCGATTAAAAATAATGAATATAATAGAGTACCAAAATAATAAAAAATTCTTATCATTCAATAAGTAAATGAATTGAATATAATTTGAGGAAATAAAAAAATATCTCTCTACGCGAAGACTCGCGACAAAGTCGCGGGTCCCGGCGGAAAGTATATCGCCAAAACAAAGAAAACGCCGCCAAGGTTCCAACGAAAGCGCCGGCGTTCCCTTTGTTCAAGCAATCCCGCCACGCGACGCGTCGCATCGCACAGCGCCGGAGACTTCGTGGAGGGAGAGCTCGAAGCCGGCACTGCGATGGATCGATACAGCACCAAGGGGTAGTGTTATGGGGGTGGCTGACTCGTAATACACGGGGGCTCGCCGCTATTCCGCGATGGCTGAGACCGAGCGAGCGAGGGAGAAAGAGGATGATGAAGAGGAGAGGAGAAAAG